TTAAAGGGATGTGGCGTAGGCCTTTTTCATCCTCTGAAAGACCCTGGCTTTGTAGTGTAGACCATCACTGAACTGACCTGAACCTTTGCATTACTCCTATAAGATAAGAAACTTATTTCCACCTGTCCCACTACTATCCTTATTGTTACCTTCTGTGTCCCCAGATGTGAACAGGGTGAGTGTCTGGTAGCAAGAATGAAAGCCATCTCAGGGAAGTTGGCTTTTGTCTGTACCAGTGATAGGGCAGTGGCTTGCACAAGCAGTTGTGTGACATTGCCAGGATGTAGGATGACTAGGAAGCATAGGGCAGGAAGGGTATCACAAATCACACCAGAGTGTGAATAAGTTCGGTTTTTGGTTCTTTCCACAGAGCCCTCTGTCACAGGTAGGACAGTGGGGGTCTATTGCAGCACTCATATTAATAGTCCTGTGGTTTGTATATAGAAAAACAGAGATCTTCATGTTTCCTAATTAGGGAATCTCTTAACTACATGCACGCTTTCGAGGGTTCCTATAGGACTCATGGAAAATTGAATTTGTCTTGGAGGGTTAGATTTGCAAAATGTTAGCTATTCTGTTCATGATTTTAAGAAACAAAAAAGTGTTTTTCTATTTTAAATTAGCATACGAAGTTTGGTTCAGTTTAGGAAATGTAGAAAAAGTAGAAGTATATATAAAGGCATTTTAGACAAGTGCTGGTATCTTCTAGTTTTGTGAGTCTGCAAAGTGTGTTTTACATAGTTGTGACTAAATGTATGCTCTTAGTCCTATCCCCTTCTTCTCTACTTCACACTCCAAGTAAAATAAATGCATAACATGAGTGTTTTTCATGGTATAATGAAATGTAAGCATCCCTTCATGTAGCAGTGCCATCATTTAACCATTTCCCAATATATTTATATTACTTGCTGATTTTGATTTTTAAAGATATATATGTACAAACCTTTGTAATAAAATAGTTATATCATTTCAATTATTCCTAGTGGATACATTCTCTAGAAATGAACTATTTAAATTACAGGGTATAAGTACTTTAAGGTTCTTCATATGTTTTCCTAAATTTAAATTTTCTTCTTCAGTGAAAAATTGTAGTAAAAAATCATCTGATTTTATTTTTCTTTGTACCAGGAACGGAACTCAGGACCTTGTACTTGCCAGGCAGGTGCTGTGCCACTGAGCTATATCCCCCACCCATTTGATTTTTTTAAAATAAAAAATGAGTAAAATTTTATTGTTAAAATACTTTGAGGTTTAAAGGAAAAGAATATTAGGGCATCTGAAGTAAAGAAACAACTGTAGAAAGGTATAGAGGAAATCAGATTAGAAATAATTTCTGAAGTAAAAAAGAAATGATAACTATAATGAAAGAGATACTAAGTGCTTCCAAAGAAGACCCTGATAAAAAAATAGAGGAGAAAAGAAAAATTATGGAATCTCTGATTGAGCAATATAGGAAAGAAATAGAATGCATGAAGCAGATTCAAAGAGATATACAGGAAACTAAAACCTCAATCACAAGTTTGGCAAAACCATTTGAATGAAAGTGAAAATAGACTTTCAGACCTTGAAGACACCATTGCAGTTGGTGAAAAGGTAAGAAAAGACCTCTTAAAAACAACTAGGATGTGGGGGAAAAAACAATTCAACATCTGCAAGACGATGCAAAGATGATCAAAGTTAAGAACAATAGGCATCAATGAGAAAGAAGAAGTCAATACAAATGATATAAAAAGAATATGGGCAGAAGTAATAGTAGAAAACTTCCCAAATATGGGGAAAAAATCTGACATTCAAGTATCCAAAACATATAGAACTCCAAATAACATCAAACCGATTAAAACCACACCCAGACATATAATAGTTGAGATCCCAGAAATTCAGCACAGGAACAGTATACTAAAAGCTACTAGAGGGCCAGCCAAATAGCTCAGCAGATTAAAGCACCTGCTTAGGCAGAGGCTGGGGTTCGATCCCCAGCATGTGCTGGCCTTGCCCCCAGGGTGCACTGAAACAGGGATTGAGACTGGGTGTGGTAGTCATGCCTGTAATCCCAGCTCTTGGAATGCTGAAAACAGAAGAATTACTATGAGCAGAATCTATGTAGTGAGATCCTGTAGACCATGTCCTAAATATAGAAAAAAATAAGTAAATAAATGCTGCTAGAGAAAAGAAAATAGATCACATTTAAAGGAAAACCCATCAGAATAACAGCAGATTTCTCTTCACAAACCATCAAGTCAAGAAGAGCGTGGAGCAAAGTACTATAAGTCTTACAGGAAAACAAATTCCAACCCAGACTGATATGCCCTGCAAAACTCTCTTTCATGTTTAATGGAGAAGTGAAATACTCCCGTGACAAAGAACAACTAAAGAATTTAATGATGACAAAGCCAACACTCGCAAACTACTAAAGGATATCCTAGAGAGGGAGCAAAGTGACCACAACTCCACAAATGAGCATGGAAAGTACCCACCAAATAGGGCAAGCAATTATTTATGTATGCATGTATTTATTTACTTATTTATTTTATTGAGAAACAAATAGCAATGTGATAGTTTCAAAACTGATTAATAGGACAGTTTCAATAATTAATACATTGTACATTGTTACCTTCTTAGTGGTTAATCATAGTAAAGATGCAGACAGGATATCCTGTCCAAACACTATTAGTACAAATCTTTCTTCTCATTGAATTAAGAGGAAGTGGCTGAAAATCTATATTAACTATTCTGTATATACAGATACAAAATTGTCCTTCCTTTGTATCCCCCCCTTTTTTTTGTTTAGTCCTGTCAGAGATGGGTATTCCATTGGTGTCTAAATACTATAAGTGCATAAATTCAGCAAAACAATCCAACACAGTCCAGCAGTCCACAGTAGTAGTGGGTTATCCACAGAAGTTGTTGACTTGAGCCTTTTACAGATCAGCATATTAATATGGCTTTACTTTATATACCTCATTTTTATACTTTTCTGCTGGATGGTTAAGACCAAGATAAAGCAAGACCTATATAAAAAGAAATGTAACTTTTGTATCTGATAAGATCAAGTACCTTCGGGATTTATCCTGTAACCCTGTACCGCAGTTTGTAGATTCTTTGTCAGTGTCAGCCATGTGGATGAGTCATGGCCATTGCTTGACCACTTGGCTCTCTGTGAAAGCCTGAGAGAATATTTTCTCTCCCTGTGATTCTCCTTAGGCACACCCTACATCATCAATCATGTTGCTCTGTGGCCCCATAATCTCCTTGATCAGAAAATTTGGGACACAACTGAGTTACATAGTGTTACAATATAGGTTCTCCTATGTCCTAAGTCTTCACTGACCTTGAAAGGCTAGGGTCAAAATGTTGGCTGTCCTTGCAGCCCTTCTATTTCTCCAATTTTTGGTCTGCAAACTTAGGTTATTAACCCTCCAGAAGAGAAGCTTATTATTACCCTACAACATATGCAGTTGGGTTTAACCTCACTATCTGTCTGAATATCAAACATCTTAGGCATAACATGGAATAAGTATTTTACATCAAGTATTGATATGTTAAACTTTAAGTCCCTATAGAATATGGAGGAAAAAATTTTAAAAATGAAAATTATTTAAAGAACATGAATAAACAATTATATAGGGGCTGGTGAGATGGCTCAGTGGTCTGGAGCACCTACTTAGAACAAGCTAAGCTAAGCAAAACACAGGGACCGCGGTTCAA